TCTTTGAGACGGTCCCGCGCGGTTTTAAATTCGCCGGCGTTCCCGCGGCGGCCGCGGGACGCTTACGCGCTGCGTTTTACATTAATGTCCGTCGGAGCCGGGGAATTAGTTGAAACATGTCCGTAAGGGAACGATCTTGCGCGGAAGCGCGCCGGCAATCAAAGTAATTGGCAATTTTCCGTGAAGTTTCCGATCCCTTTTCGCCGGCGTTTCACGGTCAGCGTTCGCCGTTTTCTCTCTTTCAGCGGCAGAGACCGTGTGTTTAAACGGCGACTAATGGACCGTTTATTGACCGAAACACTTTTCGTTCGGTCGATCGTTGCGCAAACTCGATTAGCGTCCTCCTACGGTTGATTATCAGTAATTTCTTTTGGCGCGGTCTCGTCTCGATTCCTCGATAAACATTCGCCGATACCGATTTTGGCGCGATACTCGGCGAATCGGTAAATAATGTTTCATAATGTGCATTCGTTCGGAGAAACAGTGATCACGTATTTTGCTTCTTCGAGTAGGAGCTTTTGAAATATTCAGTGGAGATGGAGAAGTTCTGTTCGAAGTTGGCACGAAATTTGTCTGGGTATATTTCGTACGAGGTTTATTTGGTGGATGTTGGAGAATTGTGTTTCAATGCATTAACAGACAATTTAACAGTTGACACGTCGATGGAAATTTAAGCTCTTGTCCTGTGATTTCTTTCTCGACTATGATCGATACAACTATTTTGCCAATAATTCATTGAGAAGGTAGGGAAATTTTAGGCATACATTAGATCTATGTTTGCACTAAAGTGTAATTATTAACAGAAGTTTAAAATCTTTAAAATTTAAACTACAAGGCACGGAGTTAATACTAAGACTACTGGATGAGTCAAATTTACCAGCGTCAGAAGTTTCATTTTGTAAATATTTAAAATATAAAGGCGTTTTTGCGAAATATTTTAAAGGTCATAATGTAGATAATAATCCTTTGTAGCGATTCGCAAATATTTTTATCTTACATTATTTTAATTACAGAATTAAGTTCCATTTAAAATTATATAATATATATCGAATATAATGAAGAAACAAATACAATAACGATTTCTATGGGTTAGTTTCGAAGAAAATCTATCAGAAATTATACAGCTCGTTTAACTGTCAATGAACAATTAGCTTCAGGAAAATTGTTCTTTTTACGGAAGACAGAAGACTAAAATAGAACTCCTCGCGTTCCCGGCAGTATTTCTTGTCAAATTAATATTTTCCTTCCGACTTCTGAAATTCCTGTTGCGCCGGGGGTTCCTTATTTATTTCGCTTGTCTTTCAAAGCGCCCAAGAAACGCCTCGATGTCTGAAGTGTATCGAACCTAGAGTAGTTGCAGCGGGCAAAGTAATTGGCAATTTTGTCTGAAATCGCTGAACCTGTCTCAAAGAACATTCTTCGGGGTAAGTGAATAATGGACCACTTACCGATAAACTTGTCAAATATTTAGGTACTTTAAAACGGTATAAAGACGTCCTTAAGAGACAGGTTTAACTAGTCGAACCCTTTATGGAGTTCAATTTCCGAGGCACCGGCGAAATTTATTTCCATTGAACGTCGTTTAATTAGGAATTTAGAAACATTAATGTATCCCTTCCTCTATTTAATTACTTTCTTTCAGTGGCTAAGGTTTTCACTGAAGATAATTGATTCTTTTTGTTTATCGAAGAACTAAATTTTTAATTTGAACAATCTACTTTCCTTTTTCAAATAAAATATTTCATACATTCTAAGCAGAATTCTGTAACACTGTTTTATGGATATTTTTATTTTTGTAGATATGAAAAACCTTTTAATAATAATGTTTATTCTTATTATCAAATTGATGTAATTTGTATCATTATTAATTTCTATTATGTACGTATTACTTTATTTAGTCCCTATAATTTCAAGATACATTTAAACGAGTTTTTTTAGTCACAACTTTTATTTCCCTGTTACCAACAGTTAAACATATTTTCAATAGTTATTATTCGACGTAAAAAAATCACAGTGCAGCTTTTATCGTGGATACGTACCGAATCGTGTTAAATAAGGGAAATCCTGTAAGATTGTACACGTGAATACATTAATCTCTCATTTGAAACACACCAACTCGGAATTCGCTCGTCTCCCCCTCCATTTTCTTTCGTTGTAAACCATTTCTTTCGCGCCGTTGTGCCTTTATCACCTATGTATACATGCTGAACTGTGTAACTCACTGTAATCCCGGCCTAATGTCCGATAACCTTAAGTATCGCGAAAGCTTTTTGGAAAACGAATGAAACGCGCGAGCTTACCGCATTCCCTGCCCATCTAAATAGCCAAGGAAAGAGCAATTATTCGGTGCTCCTTGGAAATCCAACTGTTTTCTCTCTCCTTTTTATATCTTTCTCTACTTTAATTTCAACTTTTCACTGTTCACGTTTCCACAAATTATTTCCGCTATAAACATTTATAAGAACGTTTCGATTTGTTAAAAGACGTGGTAAAATCTTGATAATTGGAGATGAACATTTATGTTTCTGAACGGAAACGAACGTTTGAATAAAAAAAGTGTTTGGATATTGAAAAGCGTATTGAATATGTATCAAGTATTAGTAATAAAAATTTAAGTAATACGTGTAATGGTAGCGCAGATCTGCGAATACCTTTCCTCGTAGTCAATATTGCGGTCGCAGCAGAAATTGACTTGTATCACTGAGTATACCGTATAAATGAATGCCTCAACGAATCGTAGATATTTTTATTTCAATAAACAACATTATATAACAACATTTCTGTTCTTTGTAAGATGAATGGTATGCAAGCATTAAGTTGATTAAGGAACTGTTAATAATAAATTTTAGAATAAAATTTTTAAATTACGTGAAACTGAATATAATATTTTATTTATTAACAATCTTCGTGGACTTTTTATAAAATATTCATTAGCTATTTTATCAAAATCATTATGTTCTTAAAAGTTGTATTTGCAAATTTTCAACCGCTAATATTCATAATATTTGCACTACACTGAAAAAAATGAGTTTGAAAAATTCAAAGTACATAATTTACTGTACTATTTAATACAAAACATACATGAAACATTAAATCCATGTACAGACTATATTTTCTATTCATCTTTGAAAAAAATTTGACATTTTGCAGCCAATATAAACTTAAAACAAAAAACTCTAACACTAATAAAAAGAAAATTTCAATATTATATATTAAAGCTTCATTCTCTTTTATTTGAAAAAAATAATAATCTTTTATAAAAGTTCATTGACACTTTAAAAAAAAATAAATTGCATTTGTTGTCAGCAATAACTGCACGACTGTGTGCACAAGGTAAAAATAGGATTATTAAAGGGATTTGGCAAAAATTCACAGGGGAAAATTTCAGAACGAATAAAAAGGATAAAATGTAAACAGAATGCATTTAAAGTATCGGATTCAAGGGATAGGGGGAAAATGAATGTCAGAGCATTGGATTTGACTTGCAGCAGCGACCTAGTCACGATTCCATCGGCGTTGAAATGTTATGCTGTGCACTGGAACGTGACTGGAACGTGTGAACACTATGGTACTTGAGCTGATTCAAGGAACACTAAACCGTGATTGAACGGTGACTGTACTGGGATTGGATCCTCGTTGCAAATGAAGGGTTAAGATGAAGGGCGAACATTCGCAGTGAGACAGTCACCGACACCGAATTCCCTTTGCAAAGTATCGTTCCCTTGCGTTAAATTAGCAACGAAAACAATGAAACTATTACTTGACAGATTGTCGATACTTTTATTTCAACAAATCGACAATAAAATATCTGTTTCTCTGTAAGATTACAGAAACCATTTTTCATGTTTTTGCAGTTAGTTAAAAACATACACGTAGCACGTATTTGTTGTTTAAAATTAACACTAGAAGTGTACATATATTTGAATTAATAGCTTCCAAAATTTATTAAATATTTTTTAAGGAAATATAAAGTAAACAAGCTATTTATCTGAATTTTTGAATATAGAAGAAGCTCTTTAAAGGAAGCCTATATTATATTATATTATACATTGATATTTAAAAAAAATAAAAGAAACTTTTTCAGTCGAGAAAGAAATAAATAAAACCGCATTATTTATGGGACGACCTGATACCAACCGTCACATCAATCACGCCATTCATTGCTTTGGCAATCCCCATACAAAATGGCCTCTTCTTTTTCATCGCACGGCGACCCCTTAAGTTGAAGCACAGCGTGCCGAATAGAACCGAAAACCAAAGTTCCATTTGTTTTCACGCGGCACTTACGTGTCCTTTGTAGCAGATTGATCGAAACCGTTTGACATGTGCTGTCTATTGTCCCTGGTAATTTTTGACCGTGCGCAGCTCGAAAAACGTTCATCATTCCGGCGATTCC